CCTTCATCGCTCCGGGGGGCGGCGCACAATCCAATGTTTTTTTTTTTTTTTTTTAAATCTTTATTGAACAAGTCAGGATACAATTCTCAGGAAACAGATAAGGCGCTAATCCAATCACCGAACGCGCACGGCCAGTCTCGACGTAAGGCCCTCTAGCTAGCCCTAGTAGGCAGACGAGAACATCAGACTCGTGATCTGATTGGCTATTGAAACCTGGCGGTGCCCGTTCATTTACAGCGCACAGGGCCTGCTCTGTTCAATCTGAAGGCCCCGAGCAAGTTTAATGTACCTGGCAACACAAGCTAGCTGAAATATGATTGGTTAAAAACTCTACCATAATAAATAAGTTATTTTTGAGTGGCTTTCAATGTTATTTAAAATAACATTGAAAGTCACCCGACTAAGTGGAAATAATATGACGTAAAGAATACAGAGAATAATTTTGTTAACATATTTATGAAAATAAAATAACAAATTTATGTTATTCTCAGAAAAGTAAATTTATTTTTCTGAGAATGTTTCGGCCAGCAGAGAAGCCCTTGCTGGCCCTCAGGGTCCGCCACTGCTAGTATTGTAATGTAATTTTTGAGAACATCTGTGATGCAGATCTCAAAGGTCATAATCAAAACCAGGACTCTTGTGAAAACATGACCGACATTTAAAATATTGTATCCTATGTCAGTGAACTTTTTAGCTTATAAGCCACTCCTCCTGGCTTGATATGTATCGATTTGACGCCAGTAAATACACAGCACTGTCAGTGTGGCATTGTGAACTCATCAACCAACAGTCATCATGGCTGGGAATGTTCTTCTTGTGGGACTTCTGCTCTTCTGTGTGATTGCAGGTATACGAGAACGAATATTTAATTTAATGTGTTTTGAAACTCAAAGTCAGGAACGGGAAACTGGCTGCACGTGGTCCACGCCCACATTCTGAGTGGCCCTTGAATAATCTCCCCCGCTCAATAAACCACTTTATGAACATGTTTCTGCTACTGCAGTGGACCACCGCATATTTACAGTTCATCACCCGCAGATTGACCTGTATGCATATATTTTTTTTCCAATGCTTTTTTCAATATGGGTTGAGTGCGGGGGGGTTGGTTGTGGGACTGTTGGGATCTTTTTGTATTTGGGGTTTTTGTCGTGGAAAAAAAAACATCTTGGAGGTGTAGCAGCATTTTTTTGAATAATTTGGGAGTGTTTACAAAAAAAAAATAAAAAATTCCCAACATATTTAAATGGGCATCATTTATTCCTGGGATTTCGTTATTTGCGAGTTGGCACATATTTTGTCCATATTTAAAATGACATTTTCTTCCACCTATGTGATTAAGAAGTGCATGGTCCCTTTCGCTGTGCCCCCTCCCCCAGTAGCACTAATAAAAAAAAAAAAAGAAATGTTGCACATCTATCATTTTAATTACCCATCCGTGCTCTTAACGTTCATGGAATTACATTGCCAATTAATATTGAGAGCCTACTGTGTCACAATGTTTTTAAACATGTTACATATACCAACAGTGTGTTCATAAAGACACAATGGTGGCGTCTTGTATCTTTCTTAACCCAGGTCAAATGTATTTCTCATGGTGCTCTCTTTTGCGTACTCATGATGCAGTTCATTAAGTATATGTTTGAAAACTGTTCTCACTTTTTTAAACATTTTTTTTTCCCTTTCACAGACACAGAGGCATACCCGATAGAGGTGACTGTTACTGTAAACATTTACCTTTTTTTAGATTCTTTGTAAAAGAAATGGTATAAAATGTTTAAACTAATCAAGTACCCTTTTTTTTCAAGTTTCTCAATTTATCTAAATGAACTGGACAAATCAATCTCAGTATTACGCATCATATTAAGGTTAATTAAAACTCGCACATAAATATAATTAACGCCTGTTCAGTGTGAATTTAAACCCCCACTGCTTATTCTTGGAGAAACCAAAATCTATTTATTTATTCTTTTTTTTTTTTTTTTGTCAGACACCCTGTCCTGTCACACATGAGCCATTCATCTGCGGCCAGATTTACAAACCTGTGTGCGGTACTGATCAAAATACTTACTCCAGCATGTGTACCCTCTGTCAGCACAACCAGTGAGTACTACATGCTACGTACACGCTGCTCTCACACGCCTACATGCAAATTTACACGCACACGCATGGATGAACTTGACCGTTGCTTGCCTGGTGGTCAAAATAGACACAACTCCAGTGGGAAATTTGAACTGTGATTGGCTGTTGCTCATGGTCATTTGTATTTACCAGAAAAAGCATTATGTACACATTAGGAACAGAATATTGTATCTTTAAAGCTTTATTCTTTACTAAAGGGAAAAAAAAATCAGGGCGTAACTTC